GGGTGAGCACTGCCTGTGGATTAAAACACAGCACAGAGTTTGGGACAGAAATAGCACATGCAGGGTTAGAGAGCGAGGTAAGCAGATTGTCACCTGGTTCCGCAGCAGATTAGTCTGAGCTACGAGATGCGCTTGTAGCTTTCCTTGGCACCACTGCGGCGCAGCTTTCTCGAGCAATGAGACAGGCTGTGCGATAGCATTTTCAAAACAAAAACAAGAGAACAGATGGACATCTTTTGAGCTTTTTTTTTTTTTTTAAGTGAACAGCAGAAGTGTTACAGGGCCAGGCTGTGCCAAGGACCCCAGAAAAAGGAAGAAAAAAGACACATTAAGAGACAAGGGGTGATTCTTGTGTAGCATGCCAAGTCACGCAGTAATTAACACTCCCACAGTATGCTTGGAGAGCACCAAAAGGTCAGGAGAGCTTACAAACAGTCCAGCTGCAGAGAGCAACAGAGAAGAAACTGTTAGTCATTTAGAAGGCAATGAATTCCAGCTTTGGGATTTCCCTTGGTAAGATATCAGCAGCTTTCAGAGAAAAGGGGATTAAACATACATTGTTATTACAGACATGCAGATTTAGAACTTGCAACACTTTTTAAAAGCATAATATAAAAGGAGTAGCAATGTCTGCTCTTAAAGGTAGGCCTTTCACCACCTGGATAGCAGCAAGAGAGATACTTGATAGGTGCTGGTTCTCCACCCGCTGAAGGATTAAGATGGAAGCTGGACCTTCCATACTTCTCTCTGCCACACTAGCTATTATGGAGCCTTTTTTGGTCTGAAGTTGGGACACTGTAAATATACTGTAATTGTAACACTGTAAATATAGCCATAAGGCAGATGTTGGGGACCTAAGAAACACCATGTTGCACAAAAAGGGAAAGAAGACTGAGGCTGATTTTGCACAAGGAGCTGCACCGCCGTCACACCTCCCTTTGCCCCGTTTCCATTGGTCAATTTCCCAGTCGAAGCCGTGCGGCCGCATTTTGACCCGCAGCGTCACCCGATTTTCCCCGCAGTTTCATGATCCTCAGGGAAAATCGGGTGAAGCCGCGAGTCAAAATGCGGCCACACGGCTTCGAGAGGGAAATTGACCTGATACTTCTCAGAAGACCTTCTAGTGTCCTCCTAGTCTGAAGACTTAGAACTCTCTTTGTCAATTCTGTTACCCTTTGTTCTCAGCATAAACTAGTATTCCTTCTGAAGTAGCTAACTCTATGGAATATTTAGGGAGCAGACAACCTGATCTGTCTGGATGACTTTCAAGTTGAGGGCTTTAGTTATTTTACTACATAAATATGCAGTTTTATTATAGAATTTATATGGCCGCTCCCCTGCTTGGAGTTCAGTTTTTTTTATCCAGTAAGCCCTCATAAAATTAATTAAATTACTTCTTTAATCAGCACCAGAAAAAAGTGGTAGCATATTAATTTTTTTCAAAAAAATAGTATTGGTCCGGTTAAAAAGAGGGGTTTATAAAATTCAAGCATGTATCTGAAGAGGCCAGCATATAAATACTCTAAATAAATAATAAAATAAATTCTCTAAGTGCTTAGAATAAAGCCAGTTTGGTTAAGAGCAGCGGCCTCTAATCTGGAGAACCGGGTTTAATTCCCCACTCCTCCACATAAAGCCAGCTGGGTGGGATATAAAACCAACTCCTTCCTTCCTTCCTTCCTTGGTATTGACTCACCAATAAATTCAGCAACCACATTTACCAAGTACATTAACTCTTAGTTGACCTCCTACCATACAAACATATTACCCTGCTTTCAAGAAAACTAAGGGTACGGTCAGACGGCATGCTGAGAGTGGGTTAAACTGCTTTGGTTCTAACCGGATTATATTTGATCTGGATAATCGCAATCATACTTACCTCCCTTATTCCGCCTCACCGCGCAGTCACGTCACTCCCTGGCATCTACACTACTGACACACAAGAGCGTGTGTCGGCGATTTTTAAAAAAACAATTCCTCAGTTTGCGCATGCGCATAGGTGCCCCTCCGTAGAAAAGGGTGAAACTATCATGGTGCATGCGCAGAACCAACAGGGCGAATCAATCCAACCCCTCCAACAAAAGACTTCCCTTTAAATGTTTGACCCAAAAATGGCCTCCGTGAGATCCCGAACTCACCTAAACGCTAAAACAAGTGACCGTTTAAATTTTGGTTTTCTAAACGCGGTGGTGGAGCTCTGCCTATGCGCACACTGCCAATGCATTTTTTAAAATGGCGGGGGAAAAACGAGAGCCTCAGGCAGCCTTCGAGCATGGCATGGAGGGGGTTTAAACCAGAAGTGGCTCGACACTGCAGGAGCGATCAGACATCAGAAAAGTGCAGCTAGAACCGGAGAATCAGGAAATCAGGAAAACACCACTTGGGGTCCCGATAGCAAAATACTCCGGTTTAAAGAGTGTTTGAACCGAGGAAACCAACGGCTGGGGATGGGGGGCAGATGGTGCCTGTGTGATCATGCCGATAAAATCCATTACTGAACCGTCATGACACCAGATCAAATCCTATGCATATTTACCTGGGAGCAGTGTTCCCTCTAAACTGAGTTAGTGTGAGCTAGCTCACCATTTTTTAGTCTCCGGCTCACAGATTTTTGACTCAGCTCAGGAAGGATGGCTCCAGAGCAAACTAAAGTAGGCAGTAGCCAAATTGGCCGCTCATAACTTTAATGCCAGGAGCTCGCAAGGTAGAATTTTTGCTCACAGGACTCCACAGCTTAGAGGGAACATTGCCTGGGAGTAAGACCCACCGAAGATATTGCAACTAATATCTGAGTAAACATGCCTAGGATTGTGCCATTAATTTCTTGTTCGTGCTGAGGTGAATTGCTCTGACGCTATGCTAACAGAGGAATGAGTGAAACAAAACTATTTTGGTCCAAAGGCTAGAGGCAAAAGCAGCAGCCCATCCTGTACAGCATTACTAGTCTGTATCACCTTTCCCCTTTCACCACAGGAAAAAAGGATTTTGACTTAGATTGTGCCTCTCCCATAAATTTCTAATCAAATATCTTAGAAGAATTAAGGCAAATATTCATTGAGGAATGCCAGGGATATAGAGAACTTGTTTATTATGTTAATAACAAATGTTGACTCTGTCAGAGTAAAGGAGCAATATTCATTAAGAGGATAATGCAGAAGATACATAAACCTGCATTCTAGGGGGGATATTCATTCCACACTCATGAAATCTTCCCAATTCATGTCTCTGTTGACTTGGTCAGTATCATGTAATAACATCTGAGTCATACTTTTTAAGAGGTGCAATATACCACCAAGAACATCCAGGGTTTGGATGCAATTTGCTCTGGGCTGATGCATCAAATGATGGCACTACCTCCAAGATAACCATTGGCCCATCGGTAGACAATGGGTTGTCAGCCACACTATAAGAGTCCCAATTGCTTTGACATCAAGAAGGAAGAAGTTGTGTACCAAAAAAGGATGGTACTCATAGAAATTCTTCATACTGAATTGCCTTCATTCTTTACGGGCCTCTCTTCTTCCTTTCTTTCACTTTGTCATCTCAGCATAATTACATGCCTTGCTATGCCCACTGTAAGCAACCACTTTAGTGCTGTTTTTTTTTAAACTAGTATTTGCTTATAGAACAGTATAAAAAAGCTAGACCAGAAATTTTAAATTATAAGTACATTATCTTCAAATTAAAAGTGAACAGCAATTAATCTTAAATCTGATTTAAAATGCTCTGTCACCTGTTCAAGAATAAGGGGGCAATCATGCTACCTCTTTACCTTGGCAATTTTGGTTTCATCTTTCTTCTTTGCTGTCTGTAGAGATTCATAATGGTGCCTGGCACTGTCATAATCCACAAGTTTCCTTCCCCGTTTAGCTATGCGAGACTGAGAAAGAAGTTAAAGAGACAAAAGAGAACAATTTGTTACTGAATTCCACAGCCATGTAATGTAATGGAATAACAAACTCTACAGTCCAAACGTACATGCATTTTGTACAGTATGCCATTACCTGGCAGCCATCTGAGGGCCAATTTATTGGAAGTCAAAATGGTGCCTTGAGACTGCGTTCACATGGACAGTTTAATCCACTGTTGCCCCACCGCAAATTAAGCCAGGTTATTTCGTGGCAGAGAATCCTGACCAGACTCACCCATTTTAGCACGCTTCAATGATGTTTTACCCCTCCTTGCATGACCAGATGGCAGAAAGCAGGGAGTCAGCCATTTTTTTAGAAGTTTGCCCTTAGGAGCATCCCCAGAAGCACTCAGCATGCTGGGATATGGAGTTCATGGGGCTGTTGGCCATTTTCTTTTAAAATTAAGTCCACAGAGCAATCACACAAGTGGTGAAGAGACTGCTGGGAAATGGAGTCCACTGCCCCAGAAAAGGGGGTGTCTTTAAGAGTTTTTCAAAAGAAAAGGAGGTTTTGAGCAGCGATCCTCACTGGGGGGGGGTGGCGGTTGGAAAACAAGAGCTCAGTGAGACCTGCCTGGCGGCTTGGCTGCACAACAGAGTGACTAGATGACAGGAAATCTATTTTTGAAGCAGCTCAGACCAACAGGACCGGATTTTATCAGGAATCAAAAAAACATGGGGCAAGGGGAGGGGGGAATGGAACTCAGACCACTAAGGCACGACAGACAGATGTTGCAGTCTGCTCGTGCACTTTAAATCCATAAAGGAACAGCAAGGGGAACAGATCAAATTGCCCATGTGAACGCAGCCTGAATGAATAGTTTGACTTATCTTCTTCATTCTGTACGTGGCAAGATATGAATTAAAAGCCTATGGCAGAATTTCTGCAAATAGAAGTATGGTGATTTTCAACAATTCCCTAATCACACAGTAGACTCCCAGCACACCCTGTATGCTGTTACTGGGGTCCCCTGTTCCCCGATGACAGCATTTGGAGGCATTTGGGTAATTAAAAACAGCCTGGCCAATCACTGGTCACCTCCCATGTCACCACCAGTTGGGCCAGAGCTAAGTAGCTGTTAAGTACGGAACTCGACGCCGCCTCGTAATCAAACAGTGAATCAACTTTATTGAAGTAACAGGAACAGTAATAGAACACACACACACAACAGTGGAGCAAAAGCTTCCTTTTAAACTATCCCGGGCTGATGTAGCCACGCCCTAGAATAGTTAAGGACCAATGGCATTACAAAGATAACACCCAATCAGATTCGTTCCCTCCGGAACACTTCTCTGCCTTCTGATTGGTTACATTCCTATAATAGCCAATAGGATTGTTCCAGCTTACAATCCTTGTCCTAGCCTTAAGCTTTACATGAGATGTTATACAGATAAGATATAACCACAGCAACCACAGCAGCGGCAACAAACGAATCAGTGCCTCTTTCTGGGTCCCAGACAGCCAGATCTGAACCAAGCAGGTCCTGCAGTGCTGGGTTCAGATCAACTTGCTACCAGCTGCTCAGGACAGTGGCCCTCTAGGGACTTTCCTGTTAAGTAAAACCAGCAGTCTGTCACTAGACTGCTTTATACATGCCAATTACCAAAGCTGTGCAAAGAAGAACAGGTGGTCAGGTCAACTGTTGCCACCTGTGTAGCAAAATAAAAAAAATAAAAAATGACTCATTCATCTGGAGTAGAACTGTCAAACGGCAGAGCTCGTCTCACCACTCTGAAACCAGTTTTAGAGTACAGAAAGCATACCAAAAGCCACTTTTGCTTTTATCCCTGTCATTCAAGCCGGATGCTGTTCAGTGGTCTTTGCCTAGCCTTCTTCAGATTGATCTCCCTATCACAGGCTGACTAAACGATCTAGTGCCAGAGGCACGTCTATCATCCCACACAAACACCTAAGTGAAGCGTTTAAGATTTATTCAAGACTAGGAAAAAGGCCCATTGTGGAAATAAATACAATGGCCTCTAGAAAGAGGCTCTGGGCAGGTGCCCCGGCCTTGGAAACTCAGTGTCAATTTGCTGTGGCGACCTCAGCAGGGTATAATGACACGGAGTCCACCATTTTCTCCAGAGGAACTGATCTCTGCCATCTGGAAAGCAGTTGTAATTCTGAGTGATCTCCAGCCCTCACCTGGAGATTGGACACATTTTACCTCAGAAGAGCAAACTGTTTAGAATATTAGAGGCAAAAGCCAATCAAGTCGCATATGCAAACGACCTCTGTGTTCCGAGGCAGAGGCCAATGAGGCTGCGTATGCAAATAACCTCTGTGTTCTGACTGGCTGTGGGGGGGAGAGGAACAGCAAAATGTTTAGAATGTTGGAGGCAGGACTCGGGAAAAGAAGCCAGTGGATAGGGAGACCCTCTGAATGACAGATCAGAGAGTGAACTGATTTTGGAGCGTGTGGAATGTTCTAGAGAAGTGCCACTACCATTCGGCTATTATTTATAAGGGAGATAAACTGGTTAACATAAAAAAGGAAGAGATGCACTAAAACCTGGGTAGGCATATGTACCACCAGAAGGCAGCCATTGTGGTGTACAGAAGAGTGTGGTAGGCCTGCACTAAGGAGAACTGAGTTCGAAATCTTGTAGGGTTGCCAGATACCCGGTGGAGGTGGGGGTCCTCCGCTGCCAGTCTCTGCCCTCCCAGCCAGCGATCAGTTGGCTGGTAGGAAGGACTTAGCAGTAGAAGGAAGGCCTATGCCACGTTGCCAGTGTAACACGGGAAGTAACGTCATAACTCTAGCATTTGGACATAACCTCTATGATAGAAGCCAATTTTGCTCAAATACCAGAACGTCACCCGGAAGTTGCTGACCTGACGGCATCACTTCCCGTGCAATGCCCGTGACATGGCATTGGCCTTCTTCTTTCTACTGGTAAGTTTCTTCTGTCCCCTGCCAGTTGCCAGGAGGGACCTGGCAACCCCAAAAATCTTGCCAAACTATGAAACTATAGGTGGTCTTGAAGATGTCATTATCTAAGAGCCACAACCTATCTCATAGGGCAGTGCAGTTTTTAAATGGGATAACTGCATGTTCTTTGGAGGAAGTACAAATGAGGATAAGTACACTTTAATGATAGGAGCTGAGGTGGCTCGAGTGGTTAAGACGCTGAACTTCAGGCTGTGGAAGGTCAGTAGTTCAGTAGTTCGAGACCTGAGTGTGCAGCATGACAGAGTGAGCTCCAGTCTCCAGTTTCAGCTCCTGCCAACCTAGCAGTTCGAAAGCAAGAAATTGCAAGTAGATAAATAGGGACCACTTCGGTGGGAAGGTAACAGCATTCCGTGCGCCTTGGTGTTTAGTCATGCCGGCCACACGACCACAGAAATGTCTTCGGACAGCACTGGCTCTTCGGCTTTGAAATGGAGATGAGCACAGCAACCCTAGAGTCGGACTCGACTGGCTTTCGAGCAAGGGAGCCTTTACCTTTTACACTTTAATGAACTTGCCCTATTTGTTGCATTCTCAGTACTCTCTCCAGTTAGGGCTGCCAGGCCACTGGTGGAGGTTGGGGGGGGAGGGGGGTTTAGCATTGTCAGATCCAGACTGGGAAACACCTAGAGATTTGGGGATGGAGCCTGGGGAGGACAAGGACCTCAGTGGGGTACGATGCCATAGTGTCCACCCTCCAAAGCATGCATTTTCTCAAGGTGAACTGACTCTGTGTTGTGTCTTTACCATGTAAAGCTTGAAACCTCAGCCAGATTGTAATCTGGAACAACACCATTGGCTGAAGCATGTACTTTAACCAATGAAATGCAAGAGTCTGTGCTGGAGGGAAGACAAATGATTGGGTGTTATCTCTGTAACCAGATTGGATGTTAACTATGTAAGGCTACCCCAGCCCAGGAGAGTTTAAAAAGAGCTATACTCCACTGTGTGTGTTGTTTTGTCGTCTGATACTGTGTGATCTTTGGAAGTTCTCGTTCTCAATAAAGCGGAATCACTTGTTACTTAGTTGTTGAATTGTATACTTAACACTCTGTAATCTGGAGATGAGCTGTAATTGGGGGGTGGATCCCCAGGTTCCACCTGAAGGCTGGCATCCCTATCTCCAACACGTGGCTTTTGCTATGTTTATATCTCAGCCTGTTCACTGTGCTCTCTCCCACTGCCAGACCAGATATAATTGTCATTTCATGCTTTCTCTTTAGTTTAATTAAATTTCACAGTACATTTCTGAATGGCATCGCTGGTCATCCTTCAAGAATTCCGCTAAATTTAAAAAACCAGACAAATTTCAGGTACTTATAATAAGGAAGAAGTTTCCTGTTAAGAATTTGGCCCAAGTCCATTAAAAAGTCCACTGACATTCCCCCAACCTACAGCACAGCTTCACCCCACCACATTTTTTCAGACTTTTTAATTTGTGACACAGTGGCTTCCATTTAAGCCTCTGGGTTGTTCCTTAGACAAGAAAGAATATTAAATTTTACATTATTTTTTTTTAAAAAGCAATGGTGGTTGGTGTTTTCCAACTATGATGACCAGGGGTCTTTTCGGGCCGGAGCCCTCCGGAGCGCCGCTCCGGCAGCCCGCGTGGTGGCAAGCCCCGCCCCCGGGTCTCCCGAGAGGCCCGGAGAGTGCCGCCCCGGGTCCCCCGAAGTCGCGCGGGAACGCTGCGGCTTGGGGAGGCCCGGAGAGCGCCGCCCCCAGGTCCCCCGAAGTCGTGCGGGAGGAGGCCCGGAGAGCCCTGCCCCCCCACGTCGCGCGGGAGCGCTGCGGCTCGGGGAGGCCCGGAGAACCCTGCCGGACCCTCCAAAGGCACGCAGGGATTTTGAAATCTCAGAGGCAAAACGGAGCCAGCGAAGCTGCAGAGAGGGGGACAAACACGGTTTCCTCTCACTTTTTTTTAATTTTTATTTTGCGCAAACAGCTCAGGCGGCTTTTGTGTTTGTTGCTAATTCATGGGGAGAGAAAAGGGAGCTGCAGCCGAGCCGCGCTCCGTCG